GACGAACGGGGGGCGGGACTCCCTCCTATTGCCCCTCCCCCCTCCATGCCCCTGCCAATCACTGCACTGCGCTTCCAACATGTCAGAATCCAGCTCCCGCCTCCTGGACTCCAGCGAGGACGTTTTCCAGGGCGAAGGAGGAGCAGGTGGAGGTGTGGAGGAAGGAGGAGGAGGAGGGGGGGTCGGGGTGATGATGGTGATGGGCGGGTGGGTTGGACCGTGCGGTGATGATGTCATCGGGGACAGCTGTGATGTCATAGAGGAATCTGTCACCACGCAGCTATAGAAGGGACGGACAAAACTGTTGTTTTCCCTTTTGTTTTGTTTTTGTTTTGTTTTTAAAAATGGCGTTCGGAGGGACGGAGAGAGACAGAGAGAGAGGAGGCGGCGGAATGTTCTAGAACTCGAAGGGATAAGGGGTTCCGGAATCCTTCTGCGTGCGCTGAGGATTCTAGAATGCAACGATTCCAGAGATCAAAGGACGTTTTGATACTTGTTTTGGCGAGGAAAGATGGCATTCACTCTACAGAAGGTTCTAGAACTCTACGGAATGTTCTAGAACTCACTCTACAGAAGGTTCTAGAACTCTACGGAAGGTTCTAGAACTCTACGGAATGTTCTAGAACTCACTCTACGGGAGGTTCTAGAACTCTACGGAAGGTTCTAGAACTCTACGGAATGTTCTAGAACTGAGGCGTGATTAAAAGTGTTCCGGAACCCTCTCCGCGCGCTGAGGATTCTAGAATGCAACGATTCCAAAGAAAATAACAAAGGGATGTTTCTTTCGATGGTGGTGGGTTTTTTGAGGGGGAAAGGCAAATGGTGGATGTTCATAAAGACAGTTTGACACATCATTATCCACAATGTTCATTATAAAAAGAACATTATAGAGAGGCAACAAGCTAGCAGGCGCTATACTCAGAGAGATAGCGGCTAACCGCAATAAAGCTGCATTCACACGGTGCACGATTTGAGTTTGGGTGCAGTCATAGTGTTGAAAACAGAGTTAGTGTCATGTGTTTACATCCCCTGCTAGCTTGCACCGCTACAGCTGTCTGTGATGTTACAAAATCAGCAGTAAACAAAAGCAAGGTTGAAACTATTTGAACTTTATTTTTTCAATTTGAGCGGTGCAAGACGCAGAGATACTTCTGCTCTCTAGATAAAAACGCAGTGGCATCGTAGAGACGTTTCACTGTCATGTGAATGCAGCTTTAGCTAGCAGGTGCCATAGCAAGAGAGATAACAAGCTAACCGCTACTTAGTGAGCTAACTAGCTAGAGAGTTCAGGAGTTACCAAAGTAAACCGCTCGTCGGCTATCTAACTTGCTAGTGAGGTATTTCAAAAGAGATTCATGACATCCATTAACTGTAAAAACATTAAGTATACATTTAATTTAGCTTTGATGTTGCATTCAGTCTCGTTTCCTTAGCCTTTTCTCATTTTCTACCCTTTACCTGGAGTAAGGCTGACAATATAGCATTTTTACTACATAATTATTGTGGCTACAAAGATGTGCAATAACTATATTATCACGGTATCTAAAAACAAAAAATAAAGCTATCAGTCAATTTCATATTTGACTTGATTTAAATGTGCGTTTGATCCGTTTCGCTAATTAATTTTTGCTTTGTGCTTCAGAAAAAACAGAGCGATTTATTGGCGATGGATTATTTAATGTGTATTCTTACAATGATATCAACATTGTATTTTTTAAATAATATATAACATCATATATAAGATACCATCACAGAAATAGATATAGATTTTCTCATCTCCTTTTTATTCACAATATGACGCCAAACTTGTCTTTATCAACCTCGGCCATTTCCCACGCTTACCACAACAGAAGAAGAAAGGAGGATATTTCAATTGAGGGATCAACTTTTTTCCTCTTTCCTCCAAACACGCATGATTATCACGGATTTACAAGTAGCCAAGGTGACTTTTCTGTTTGGTTTTTCAACACTTGATTTCCTCTTTCCCTTTAACCAAACTCCAAATCTGCAACGGGATTAAACCGTCCACTGGAACCCACTTAACCTTCGGATGGAAAGGGATGGAAATGCAACTGAAAATCACCAAAATGGAACGGGACAAATGGAATAAAACCTCCGCTTTAACTGGAATTTGATGGATTTATCCGAAATCCCTGGGAATTCTCGAGCGTTGCTGTGGATAGCCTGCACCCTCTCTCTCTGCTTCAACAAGGGCCAAGGAACTTTCTTTTATCCTAATAACAGTTATACTAGTAATAATAATAATAATAACAACAAGAGACTTTAATAATAGTAACGAGGACTATTCTGGTTTCTTAAGACTGTCTTTGCTTCTCTTTGAGTTGCCTACGTTTACCCTGGCTTCTCGTTCAGCTCTTCCTTAATAAGTACACTTTAACCTGATGAATACAAATATTTATTGTGAGGAGGAGGAGGAGGAGGAGGGGTGATGATGTGTGAATGGGTGGAAATAAAAAGGGGGAGGAACGGGAAAGAGACACCTTTCTATCTGGGAAATCTATTTTAACAAGGGAAATTGCACCAGAATTTCATCATGATTTCTTTTTTTTTTAAAACGGTTGGCATGAGCAGAGGCTGTTGAATTTGTACTCTGCTTTATATAAAAACTGTCAGAGGAGAAAGTAGAGAAATTATGCATGTTTGATCAAAAATAACCACAGTTACCTGCAACACACACACACACACACACACACACACACACACACACACACACACACACACACACACACACACACACACACACACAGGTGAAATACCAGATATGCAATGAGCAGCTCCTGGCCAAATGATTTGCCCTTTTTGAAATGTCTGCACGCACACACACACACACACACACACACACACACACACACACACACACACACACACACACACACACACACACACACACACTCACACCTCGGGCTCGACGCTGTGACCACCAACCGTTTTTTTTGCCCCGCCGG